TTAACTTTTATAACGATTATTGGAAAGTTATAACACATATAGACCTTATACCTTTAGCTCCTTATCTCAATAAAATTGAAAATTTATTATATGATACCTTAAACCTTTGTTCCAAAATAAATACTGACGAATTTTCCCAATGTAAAGATTTTTCAAATCCTATAGAGATTTTAATAAAATATAATTACGTCAAATTGCAATCCCTAGCACATATAATCGATAATAATCAATCGCCAAATAGAGTTAAAAGATCTCTAGAATTTGGAGGCGAAATTCTTAAATTTTTCTTCGGTACTCTAGACGCAGATGATGCGCGAAAATATGATGCCGCGATAGAATTATGTCGGAAAAGTGAAACAGAACTATTTAATTTATTCAGAGACAATATTCACATAATTAAATGTACCATAAATAATTTTAATGCCACTATTTATAAATTAAACCAAAATGAATTAAGATTAAACTCACAAATTAATAAAATGAATGAAATTCTTTCGCAAATCACAAAAACCGATAATTTACTTATTAACATTTCTAGAATAAATAATTTATTGAACATAATTGAAAGCTCCTTACTTGCTATTTCTAACTTGCTAGACACGACTATAAATGCTATCCTATTTTCCAAGGTAAATGTTTTGCATCCTAGCGTGATTAGCCCTTTAAGTCTTTATAATGAATTAACCAAGCATATCAATCAAATAAATAAACGTTTAGATTTTCCAGTACAATTGAACATACATAAAATTCATTCGTTAATTGATGTTTCGAAACTTAGTTCATATTATTATAACAATAAGATTGTTTTCAGCTTGCAGATTCCATTAATAACACCTGATAAGTTCATTGTTTATAAAAATATCCCATTACCGACTCCTCACGACGAGTCGCATATACAAACGTTTGCACTTATTCAACCTTCTAATTCTTATATTGCTTTAAGTGACGATAGAATACATTATACTATGTTTAATAACTTAGATGATTGTAAATTTATTAATAATAACTATTCTATTTGTGAACTATTTACTATAACGTCTAGCATAAATAATCCTAATTGTGAATCGAAATTATTAACAGAAGTAACTCTTTGCTTACCTTCTGAATGTAACTCCAAGTTATTATTTGGCCAAATCAATATTTGGCATAAATTAAAAAATAATAGATGGATATATGTACAATCCAATGTAAATAAATTAACTATCAAATGTAACGATGATATTACTGATCATTCTATTATTGGCACAGGTATTGTCAAATTAACCGAAAATTGTATCGGTTATTCCAAAACTATTCAATTATTGCCAACAAGTACTTATCAATTTTCGATTAAGTCAACTATAGATATAAGCTTTGACATAACAAGAGATGATTGTTGCAAAAAAGATGTATTTAATAAAAGTTTACCATATTTAACGCCAATCTCTCTAAGCAAAGTTAACTTGGATTCCTTAAAATATGCAAATCATCAGCTAGATAGTTTAGAATTTGAATTAAATAATCTTCAAAAGGAATCACATTTTATAAAATACGGTTCATACTATTCCACATTTACTTATATTTTAATTGTATTACTATTTTTGTACTTAGCCTACAAATTATTTAAATGTTCCAGAAATCGACACAATAATAGTGGACATTGTATACAAATATTTAATCAGTGTAATAATAAAAAGTCGTCGAAACATAATTCTAAAACTACAAATTCAATTGAGATGATTGATATGTCAACATCTGAAGAAGATAATAACTCACCCAAATCTTTACCAAATTGTACTAATTGTGAACCTTATAGAACTGTACACAAAGTTCACTCTTCCTCCGGAAGAAATCTTAATTTCTAATTTTATTCAATTTTTGTTTACAAAAATGTTTGTATTAAAACAATTGATTAATTTTATTATCATACAATTTCAATTTCTACTTTGTCATTTTATATTTTGTAATTGATACATTTTACTATTTTTGATTCAATCTAATTGTAATAAGTATTTTTTAATTTTAAATGTGTATTGTTATTTAATTATATACAATGTTAAAATGAAAATTGTAATTGAAACTACTATTTTGTTTATTAAAAATCAATTTCTACTCGTAATTCTACTAATTCATTTAAAATACTTTTAATTCTAGATTTTACTATTTTACCTTTATATAAATTCATTGTTCTATTTTATATTGATTATTTGTTAAATCTTACGCTGTTTCTTTTACGTAACTTAGTTACAACTTACTTTATCTTTATGTAAAATCGAATAGTTCGAAGTTTTATATTGTTATAAGATAAATTTTCTATGTTTTACTATAAATTTAATTTTCTATTTCTATATTTTGTAACGCCTTCCGACCTCTAACTATTTCTCTATTTCGAAACTTCGCTTTATCTTAATTTAGAAAAAGCTCAGTCAAAAGGGGGGAGCTGTTATATCCCTTTTTACAACGCAGTTAAATCTTAGTAAGCATTTATTCAATCCCACGGTACTTTTCCTATATATGACGTCAATCAGTAATTGTATTGTTCTTTTCCATATTAATTTCATTCCATTTTACAGTTAGTTAGATTCAGAGCCCCGGGTAGATCGGACATAGATTCCGATACGTATTAGAGTTCGGAAGTCAGGGTTAATATTAATTGTGTGTGTAAACTTTTTATAATAAACCCTTAGGTTTACTTTGTGGTTTTTTTTTAAAAAGTCAAACGGGATCGGCCTCCTAACAGTACAAAGATTTTTTATGACTTTCGATGGCATTTAAGTCAACAAGAAAGTTATGATAGACATTGATTGGCGTTTCACGATAAATCCCCATCTCGTGCCACTGTTTACAATTGGTTTAATGACTTTAAACGTGATCACACTAATCTCTCCGATGATCTGCGTGAGGGACGGCCTTCTAAGGCGACGACTGAAGATAACATCAGTGTTTTGCGGCGTATGATAGAGACTGACAAAAGAGTGACTTATCAGCAGATTCGGACAAGCTTACGCATCGGTATCAGTCAAGTGCACTAAATCCTCCATGAACATTTAGCGGTTAGAAAGCTTTGTGCTCGGTGGATACCTCAAAAACAGTTACTGCAGAGTGGTATACTAACAACTGTTTGCCACTTGTCTTGGAAAAAGTTCGTGAGAAACGACCTCGCAGTAGGATCCTTCTTCACCACGACAACGCCTCGTCGTACACCGCCCAGCAAACAATCGACTACTTGGCGACGTCAGACGTGGAATTACTAGGTCACCCGCCCTATACCCCGACCTCGCACCTTGCGATTTATTTATTTCGGAAAAACTTCGAGGAAAACTTTTTATGGACGCCGAGGAAGCACAGTGGCTGCGTTTCAAAATGCCGTCGAAGAGACCCCTAAGGACGAGTGGGCAAAATGCTTTTTTTCAGTGGTTCCATCGGATGCCGCGATGTATATTTTGATTAATATAACTTTATTTTTATTAGGGACGCCTTGTTATTGCCTACACTTGCAGCACCTAATTAGCATTTAATTCCTTGCTATTAATATTTATCGTATAAGTAATAACTTCATTTTAACAGTTCGTTGCGGAGAAAATTTTAGAGCACCTAATTTTTAAACTTGGCACCTAATTAGCACCTAAAAAGCCCCTAATTTTGGGTTTTTCTAAATGCAAATTCCTGACTTTGCGTTGCTGACGATACACAACTTCTGATCAGCGGTTGATATAGACGCTCAGGTGTGAAAAGTGTCTTATTCTTCTAGTCTTCCTGATTGTCTTACTAGGTCGTCACTGCATCTAGTGAGGGGTCGCCCTACACTTCGCCTACCGGTAAGAGGCTGCCATTCGAGAACCTTTTTCCCCATTGATTGTCGATTCTTCGAGTTATATGACCGGCCCATTGCCACTTCAGTTTACTAATCCGTTGGGCAAACTTATTACTTTCACGTTTATTTCGGTAATTTTTTTACTACATCAACCACCGGTCAAAATAAAGAGTCCCCGTTTCATGTACCTCAGGTATAGGGGATTAACTGAAAAAAAACGTAAAGCTTATTGAAATACCGTAAGTCTGCCGCTCACGGGCTCCTAAACTATTTGATTTTATTTAATGTAATGAATGAACATGATATGCCTATTACTAGCCAGTCAATCATGTAAGGTTGTTCCTGTTATCGTAGCGTTGTTGTTGATTTTCATGATTCATGATTAATAATAGATCGTTTAAAAATACAGATTAGGACTTTAAAATGGCTAAATCTTATACAGTTCACCACAATCATCAATCATATATTCCCCCTGAAAGTTTGATTACATTCTTTATCTCCATTCCCAGTTCTAGCTATAGACTTATCAAAATTATATAAGAAGAGCAGTTTTGGCATAAAGACGCACATAGAATATATCAAAATAACAGCCAAATGGACTTCTGTGACTTGTAACATGTATTAAATCCGCCTTTTTGTTACCTTGGGTGTAACAACAAAGAGTAAATAAATTAATTAATGTATATAATCCTACATACTACAATATATTAAAACACTAGGCCCTTACTCAGGGGCACCTCTGTATTTGTTGAATGTGATAATTTAGAATGCAGTTTCTTTTTTTTTTTATAAAACTGAAGTGACAAACGAATTAACGTCCACCTGATGGTAAGTTGCTACTGCAGTCCATGGACACATGCCACCAACTTTAAACATAGAAGAACTATTTTGTGATGTCACCTCTGAGGACGAGATGTAATGATACACAGCCTGTTGTAGTACTAGCTCTCTTTACACTTCAGACTGGAACACAGGAGAGCAAGCACCTTATCCTTATCGCACGGTACTAATTGGGCGGATGAGCGCTAGGCGAGAGAAATTGTAAGATTTTTCTGTCACGACCTCTTCTGACGTAGTGTAGACGGCCTTGACCGCTATAAGGAAGCGAGATGGAATAATATCCACCTCCCTCGCACTTTTTCTCATTTTGCCATGAAAGAAATATTATTTTATTATATTTTAAATGTATTTTAACTTGAACACTTACCTCTACAGTTGCCTGGAAATTATTATCATAGGCCATAAGAAGCTCGGACAAAATATTTGGAGAAATATCAGGGAATAAATTGTATAATTTTTCCCGTGTAAGTTTTGCAGCCAAATCATTAGGCTCATTATTTCGCCACTCTTCAACATCCTTTTTATACAAAGAAAGTGCAAAATCTAGATCCATTATCTCCTTAAAATCAGGCACTTCTGGTTCTTTTCCTGCTAAAGCCAATTCTTCCTCTTTAAGCGCTAATTGTCTGAAAATAATAAATAAATACATATACATAATAATAAATAAAATTGGTGACAGTGACACCAAATCATATAATTATAGGAAGTTATTGTAGTTTACCTTGCAAATTCCTCATCTTGAAGTACCATTAACTGCGTCTGTTTAGTAGCCTTATCCAATTGGTCCATCAAAGATTCCATCGAAAGAGCATTAATTTCATTTAGGAGGGATAGAGGAATATTTATTGTTGGTATAATATTTTCAGGATATACCATGTCTCGCCTACCAAAGAATTCGTCAAGTTGAGTTACGAAATGACTGCCTAATTCAATATTAACAGTTTTCTCCATATAATCAAAACCAGTTTCATCATCATCATCACTATCAGTGTTCAAATTATCGTTTTCAGTGGTTTCCGTGTCCAAATAATTATCTTCACTTATGTCTTTAGAAGTACTAGGGAAGACTTTCTCGAAATTCTGAGTATTATCTGAACTTTCTACATTTTCGCAAATGTTGACTTCTGCTTGGGAGGATTCTCCACGGCGTAATTTTCTAATCTTTAAGCAATGTTCTGAATAATGATTATCAGCAATAACCACATTTTTCTCTATTTGACGTTTTAACTGAATAGAACTTTCAGTGAAGACTACTTCTTTTTTTACTTTCCTAGGTGTAGATGTTACATTATCTACTACACCTTCTGAGGTATGATCTTCTTTAGTACTAGATGCTGATATGACATCTGGTATTACATTATATGCTGCCACACATTCACACTGTCCAGAAATTTCTTCCTCAATATCTGAAGAATCTTCTTCATCTTGAATTAGTAACTGTTTATTTGCAACACCATCAAGTACAATATCGACCGCCCAATTTACATCTCCACAACAGCGATCAAATATATCTCTTAAATCGCATCTACTAATATTTTTAAATAATTTTCTAAAAGCTTTAAAATGCTTCTCTTCATTTTGACATCTATAACCTTCTATTATTGCCCGGTCATTTGTCATACTACTTTTATCTAACATCACTTTATCTGGGATTTTCACTTTCTCAAGTGGCAAGTAATACAAATTTATGTCTCTGGGTATTGCCATTATAATTTTATGAGGTTTGCTTGAATTGTTAATATCTGTATCGCCAATTTCCATACAAGTGCTGCTACAAACTTTTTCAACTGAAATTTCAGGGTTGACAACATTTGATTTTACAACTTCACTTTCCCAAGGTGGCATAAACATAGAGATTTTTGTCCAATCCTGACATTCGGGTAGCGAGTTTTGTATGGATTTTGACTCTACGGAGTCTTTAGGCTTTCTTTTAGGTTTCGAAATTTCATTCAGTTTCTTTAAATCATCAATTTTGGTATTATTTTGAGTTTTCTCTGTTTCCTCTTCCCAGTTTTCACCGTTTTCCCATTCATTTTCGACTTTAGCATATTCTTCTAACTTTTCTTCTATATACTATGCATAATGAATCGGCAATGAGTTTCCATTGTCCTCATTTTCATTTTGTACAATTTGTGAGTTAATTGATTGATTTGTATTGTCTTGACTTAATTCCTCAGATTCTATACGTGAAGACACATTACTTTTTACATCTTGAGTTTGAACAGGTAAGCTTTCTAGTGTTATTAACTCATTACTGCATTCTGTTACTGGATTGTGATTACTGTTAGCAACAGTTGTTCGAACAGGTATTTCTACTGGCATTGGAGGAAAATTTCTTAAAACGGGAGGAACCATATTTTCGGGATAAGACAATCTATAATAATTTCTCAAATATTCACCTGTAACACCATTTTGAAAATTATCAAGCATTCTTTTAATTGAGTGGAAAGGAACTGCATGAATATTCTTCCGTGACAATTGATTTGCTTTCTTTGCCCATGGAGTGTTTGGTTCTACAACTTCTATCAAATATCCATTTCTAACTGCATTTCTTACATACGGCTCCATTTCCCACACTTTAATGTTAGTATTGTCAATAATAACGGGACTTATACCCCGCATCATCGCTATCTTTGCTCTAGACTGATTCCATATATGAGCATATGAAAGCTTTGATTTTTCGAATTGGTAAACACCTCTTACCATAAAGTAGTCGTCAGTGCTAAGAATATGTTTCGTGTAATCACAGAAAGTAGCTCCAACAGTCATTTCTATAATTTGTTTTGCTAAAAACGATTTACCGCTCCCAGGAGCACCTCTCATAATAATCAATAATCGTGAACCTTTATTATGATGTGATAAGATTTCCCTTAATTGATTGGTCCAAATATTGAAACCGGCATTTGGGGCAGGCATTATTTGTTTACGTTTTTCTGTTTGTAGAGCCTCACCGTGTGATGCTCTGGCATAACTTATTGAAGGTTGAACATCAGCTTCAGTCGTTAAATTTGATGTTTTCTTAATTCTGTTCTGTTTATCAGCAACCTCATATTTATTTATAGTTTCATTATAACATTTCTTTTCCGAAATTTCTCCCATATCCTTCATACTATTACCATCCATATTCAAATTTGCTAATATTGCTATTATGTTTTGTGTATCTTGATAAGACATGCTATCATGTGTCAAACTCATAATTGCGTTGGCAGATTCATTCACTAATAAAAAAATAAAAATAAAACAGTTTAGTATTACTTATATAATATATGAATGTGCATAAGCATGTGATATGCACAGTATACTTTTTGTTGCTGTAACATAATAACATAATTAATAAAATAATGGCAATTTAAAATTTATCATAAGTAATATAATATCATTCAAGCATAGGTTAAGCAATTTCACACATCAAATTATACCACATTAATAATAACTTTTTAGTTATTTTACTATACAGTCCGATTGTTATGTACTTATATAGCCAAAATTCTAATGCATGTTTGTGAAGTGACAAACAAATAAAACATGCTAATTGTGAATGATTCAACAATACAAATAAATATTTCTTGTCTCATTTACAGACATTCCTGTAATCTTCAAAATATGGTTCAAACATATTTAAAATTATGATTACATTAGTACATCTTGGTTTTCTGTTTTTAAAAAAATAGTATTGTTCAATTAAGGATACTCAGCTCCAATCTTTAATGCTTGATTCACTTATATTTTAAGCTAAAAAATAAATAAACCTAAGATTTTATGAATATTTATAAATAGTGCATGTAGTTATAATTGTGAACTATATAGTAGCCATTGCATTATATTTATGTATAAAAACATAAGTTAACATTAGTTATAAAAAATTTCATCACCTGTTTTTCTTAGAAGTGAAACTGTTTCTTATATTTCACCAATTCAGAACAAAAAAAAATTCAGTTGGTTTAAAATTCAATAAATCAGTGAATATACGAAAAAATGCATTGAATTACTTTATAAATTACATCAACAAATTAGTACTTTCTATCCTCCTTTGTTAAGTTGGTTAAAAAGAAAAATTACTGTGTGCAGCATCTTAACTAATAGAAATATATAGGTACAGTTAAACCAATGATTATTAACACTCATAGAAATGTTGATATAAAAATAATAATTGATATGTTTGTTTAATATGCAATGGTCATATTATAACATAAATATTTTCATTGCCTTTTTACCATTATCTCATTGCATACTGTTAACAGAAATACTGTAATTTAAAAAATTGTTTCTTCCAATAAACAAACAGTTTATTTCTATAATTCTGATAAGATTATAACAATTATTATCTATAATGTGAAGAGAAAACATTATACCCATGTAATTTTAAAATGTTACCAATAAATAATTACTGATAGATAGAATGATACAAGCCTTAAAATTATATGAATAATAGTCGAATTTCGACCAGTGGGCGAATACTAGTATCACTTTATTATGAAGAACATTAAGCATTAGCACTAATGATAGTAATTATAAAAATATGATAAACAAAAACATAAAAATACTTATTTCATTAATTAATGTTTACTTATTTACTAAGCTATAATTTAGTCATTATCTAAGTAAGAAATTTAGTTTTTAATTGTCATATTATTGTTTTTATTTAAATTAAACCGAACCATATCCATCCAAACAGTTATTATTTATTAATAAGGCAATATTGATATTTTGCAATTATGTACAACATTTTGAGAATATTAAAAACCTTTTAGATAATAGAATGAATGAACCATTTAAAACTATCAGAATATTTAAATATCATTGATATTTTATATTTTTATTCAAAAACTTATATTCAATAAATATAATCATTTAGTTAGGCTTTGAGGCCAATTTTTCAGTCACTAACCCTAAAGCACCTACCCTGTTTTTGTGACACAATAACCTACCCTCCGTCTGACTGACCGCTATCATGTGATTGGCCTTATTTTATGTTAAGCCCGCTTTTCACTATGGGATATAATGTAATATATAGTTAGTAACAAATTAACCGAATCAGATCAGGACGTTGCAATGGTTTTCGAGAAATATTTTACTGATATTCCGATATTAACCACTAAGTCATTGAATTCTTCTCCTGCGGTCGCCGAATCATTACTTAAACAAAATGTAAATGCGTGTACAAAGAATTTTGCATTTCATAAAGTATCATCAAAAGATATTGTAAAATATTTTAAAACTATTGATGTTAAGAAAACTGCTGATCTGTGGGGGATTTCCGTTAAAGTTATTGTGTCTATAATAGATACAATCGCGCCTCATTTAGCTATTATTTTTAATACTTGTATCGAATCTGGTGTGTTTCCTGATTTAATGAAGTATAGTAAAGTAATACCTTTATTTAAATCTGGTAGTACATTAGACCCCGCCAATTTTAGACCTATTTCTGTACTGCCAACACTTAGTAAGATTTTTGAAAAAATTATTCTTGATCAAATGTTAAATTTCTTTAATATAAATAATTTACTTCATAAAAATCAATTTGGTTTCACAAGGGGTCGCTCGACAACTGATGCCGGTGTTGAGCTGATTAAATATATATTTAATGCATGGGAGAATTCACAGGATGCTTTGGGTATATTTTGTGACCTATCCAAAGCCTTCGATTGTGTTCACCATGAAACATTAATCAGGAAACTTCAACACTACGGTGTAAGAAGTGATGCTCTTAAATTAATTATTTCATATTTAAGTAAGAGAACGCAAAAAGTTGTCATTAACGGTATGAGTTCTTCCGGGTCGATGGTACAAATGGGCGTGCCTCAAGGCTCAATTCTCGGCCCCTTTCTGTTTCTTGTATACATTAATGACTTACCTTACATAGTAGGAGATAACCATGATATAGTATTATTTGCAGATGACACTTCTTTAATTTTCAAATTAAGTCGACAATTGCTAAAATATGACGAAGTAAATAATTCTATATCTAAATTAGTAAATTGGTTCAATGTTAATAATTTGCATTTAAATGGCACTAAAACGAAATATATGAAATTTATGACTCCAAATGTCAAACAATTAAATACTAATGTAATTTTAAATGGGGAGAAACTGAGTCTTGTAGATACCACCATTTTTCTTGGAATCACACTAGACGCGAAGCTTCAATGGAGCCCCATATATCAAAACTAGCAGCAGAATTAGTTCTGCAGCATATGCCGTAAAAAAGATTAGAAGTCTAACTAGTGTTGAAACAGCTAGACTAGTTTACTTTAGCTATTTCCATAGCATAATGTCGTATGGTATTTTGCTATGGGGACACGCAGCTGACACTGATATTATATTTGTTTTACAGAAGAGGGCCATAAGAGCAATTTATGATTTAAAGCCTAAAGAGTCGCTGCGACAAAAATTTAAGGAAATTAATATATTAACTTTGGCCTCTCAATACATTTATGAAAATTTAATGTACGTACACAAAAATAAAAGTAGTTTTACAAAAATAAGTGATATTTATTCTGTAAATACTAGGAACAGACACAAGCTAGTAGTACCAGTTACTCGACTCCATCGAGTCAGTAATTCATTCTTGGGGCGATGTATACGCTTTTACAACAAAATTCCAGAATATATACAAAATTTGACCTGCTCAAAGTTCAAAAACTTTATTAAACTAAGTTTGTATAAAAAGGGTTATTATAATATTAATGAATTTATAGATGATAATAACCCCTGGGAATGAGGTGATCGCTACCAAGCTATTTCTAATTTGTTGTGTTGTTAATTTGTGTAACATACATGATTGTAAGCTGTTATTTTAAAAAAAAAGTCCCGCTGGGTTTCTTGCTGGTTCTTCCCAGGACAGAGGTTTTTTTTTTTTTTGAACCAGTGGTAATCATACAAAAGAGTGACTTTCAATAAGTATTATTTATAATCTATATTGAATAAAAAAGTTTCTGTTTCTGTTTCTATATATTATATCTCGAGATATAAATTAATATCGCTCACCGTACTTTTTAATGGCACCGTTTACACAGATATAATATATATTACATCTCATACTATAAATATATTTTCAATCAACCGAGTGATATTTTCATATTATATTTCGCCCCTGTACCCCGCACACCGTTCCGCGCCTGATGAACTTGAATGAACTTTTACGTAGTGCGTATACTCATTTGTATTCGTAACTTTTCTTAATAGAATTCCTTAAAAGCTCTAAATTCACCATATTCATCTCTAAACTTTATAATATGATGATATCCAATATTGATGCTCCCTGTTTTTACTTAAAAGTAACACAGATAAACCGAATTCTGCATCATCTCCATCTGATGAACTGTAGAAGGCTATCAAGCAAAACAATATCCATTTTGTTTGAAAGACAATTTTGTATGTAAACGACGAGTGGGGTGTAAATGTAATCCAATGACGAACACACACTAGTTAAAAGATAAATCTCACAGTGTGAAAGCAAAAGCATATCCCATAGTCAAAAGCGAGCTTTAGAATTTGATAAGTAGTTAAAATTTGCATGAAATAAAAAAAATGGGTTTTACTATTATATTATACCAAAAATCAAATCTTAGCTAATAACAGTCTTGGGTAAATATAATTGATTCGCTTGTACGTCGTATTTCGGTGCTTTTATCTAAGCTTCTATTTAATCAAGAATCAAAATTAAAATTAAACATGACTTAAAAAACTTAGGTACTTCTTTGGACTAGCTTACGTAATTTGAGCAATTGTACAACACAATGTAAGTTATAAATCTATAAAAAAAATCGTACAAATTAAAAATTACAATTATATAAATCAAATTGCTTCACATTATTTTTTACTTCATTCACACAAATTTATTTGATGGATAACTTTTATCTGAAAAATTAAAAATTAGCCTTTAGTTGACCACAACTTTCAAAAGATCCACTTTTTTCTTATGTTATCATAAAATTAATACAAAATTTCTAACTACATGAGTCTTTTTATGATCAACAAGTCTGTTTGATTTCCATAAATGTGCCGAACAAACATTTTTGTTTGTCTGGCACATTTATACACATCTGCATTTTAATTCTTAACCAAAAATGATGTGGCGGCGCTGTCGTCGCGCCACAAGCGAAACACATCGAAGCCTAAATCGCACTAACAAAGTTCCAAAGTTAAAGCAGCATATATAGAATAGCTCCGAACTACCAATCGGAGCTTTAGCCGCTCCCCGGGCAAAACACCTTGCCCGGCGGGAGATCTCCCCTTTTCCTTCCACTGGCTACAGTGGTGACTCTGACGTGATCTGAACACGCAACCTTCTGATGCTTGAGCTTCGGCCAATGTACTGAGATTGACGGGCGCTTGCAGTTCCTCAACTTGAGACAAGGCATCGGGAACAACATTGTCTTTACCAGAAATATGCCTTATGTCGGTTGTGAACTGCAAAATGTAGTCCAGATGTCTATACTGCCTAGGCGAACAGTTGCCTTTCCTCTCGCGGAAAGCAAAACTGATAGGCTCGGTATAGACAATAAAATGTCTCACCTCTAACATATGCCGAAAATACTTAATGGCCTCATAGATGGCGAGAAGCTCTCTATCATACAGCGAATATTTTTGCTGCGCAGAACTCATTTTGCGTGAGAAAAACGCAAGCGATGGCCACGTGCCGTCTTTATACTGCTGCAATACCGCACCCAAAGCTATATCTGAGGCGTCAGTAACAAGAGCGAGCTTGGAATGTGTGTCAGGGTGAGCTAGTAAAGGTGCTTCAGACAGGCTTAGCTTACAATCTTCAAAAGTCGTCGCGCCACCATAAAATAAATGTTTATTGATCACAGCATTATTCATTTATCTTCAGGTGGACTGTGTCCTTGTTTGTCACCCTTACGGTAAGCGGGCGAGTTGAATGCAGGCTGGGTCTGAGGTATAGGGTGGGAGCGTGCCCTCTCACCACCTGCTCTACTTGCTTCAAACGCCTGTAGTATAGCGTTGTCCTTGATAACTATCGCGCGCGTATCGATTCCGTTTTAAGCATGTTCCAGACGGATGTAATCCAGCATCCCAACATAGGTGACCTTGCTTGTTGCCATCCATTTAGACGGCACATGTAATACAAATTTTTATTAGACCTTCCTTGGAGAATGGGCGTTTAGCCGGTGGATTAAATCTTACCAAAGACATTTGTGCTGCAGCAGGCAGCGGGTGCGCACGTATGCGGGTGGAAAATATCATCCACGGACCAGAAAAACGAACACGAAATTATAAGTGAATTAATCTATCTCTATAGAGATTTGCCATGCTTATGGGATTGAAATTTGGGCAAATTAGGAGCCATTTCTACAACTTAATTATACGCGAGCCCGCGAATAGAAACCAAGGTCCCACCAAGGTCACCTCTGTTGGAACGCTGGATTACATCCGTCTGGAGCATGCTTTAGTGTTTGACGTACATTTTTGTGTTTAAATATGACCGAGCCAGGGCCTTCAAGCTCAGGAGCTCAAGAAGTTACAAGAAAAGTTCTTTTTATTCATCACCATGCACGGTAAGTTATGAAGAAAGTACTGGATGTGTGTTGAAGAAAAACAAAAGAAGTTTTTGACCTTGCCATTGAATTATTCTTTTGGTCGAGCGAGCCATTATACCGGACTTTCTAAACAGACATTGGCTATTGTTTAAAAAGCTAACCATGGCCCTTAAAGTTCGCCTTCTAAAAAAAGGAAGATTGTGTAAGAAAAACAAATGGACATCGACAATTTTGATAGAATTTTAATACAAAGAACTATAGAAGAATTTTATATATAACAAAAAATATTGGGTCTACTTGTCCTAAACTTCTATCAACTATTAGAGAAAAAATTTAATTTCCATGGGGAGTGACCAGTTTAAGAAAATTATTAAAAGAAATGGGATATAAATGGCTGAAGTATCGTAATAAATGTTGTATTTCAGTGGAAAGGTCAGCAGTTGTATTTGTTCAGTCAATATATTTGTGAAAAATCCATCAATATAGACAAGAAATAGAAATATATTCTTTTTGGATAATTTAACTTTTAAAAAATGCTGGAGAAATGATAAGATTGATGCTGTGTTGACAAATACCACTTCTACAAACAGGCTCATTCTTGTACACGCAGGATCACAGAGGTTTTTTAAATAATGCTAAGCTGCTTTTTAAAGCTGGTACTCTGTCAGGAGATTATCACGGCCAAATAAATAGTGTGAACTTTGAAAAGTGAGTCTCGGAAACGCTTATTCCTAACCTAACACCAAACAGAATCATCGTAATGGATAACACACGTTCTCACAGTGTACAAGCAAATAAAGTCCCAACTAAGTCCTGCATCAAACCTCAAATGTTGGAATGGTTAAATAAAAATAATGTGCAAGCATCTCTGACTATGTGAACAATGAGCTCTTTTGTTTAATTGATTTGCATAAGCCTAGAGAAAAGACATTTCAAGTAGATCAATTCATAAAAAGCCATGGCCATGTCATAGTTAGTTTACCACCATATAATATGTGCTTAACCTGATTAAGTTGTCTTGGGTAAAATGAAAAGAATTGTTAGTTATCACAATGTCAATTCAGATTTAACTTTAACATAACTTAAAAATATTACAGAGCTAGAATTTACTCAGATCACAGAGGAAGATTGGAGCGGCATTGACGTTCATGTTTGTAACAAAATTATTGGCAAAGAGATGGCCTAATAGAAGAAACTATCAATCGATTTGTGATAGAGATCAGCAAAGGATGTAAAGAAGTAATGATAACGATTCTGACATGTCTTATATTTTAGAATCTGATGATGGTTAAACACTATTTTTTCTAAGAAATAAATAATACTTTGACAATTATTATTGTGTTTTATTGAATTATGAAATTTTATACTTTACCAAAATTGTTTTGTAGTTACGAGGATACACACTAGGTTACAAACATTTTTTTTTCTTTAAAAAATGTTACACCCACAGTAGGATTTTCTCCTGTATCGTGGAGGCAGTTTACAAACATATATTGCACAAGGACAAATATCAAGACCTGGAACAATTATTTGTAGGCCATACAAATACTTGTTCCTTGTGGGATTTGAACCCACGGCCCCAAGCGTTGGAACTTTTTGCGAAACCACTATGCCACAGAGCCATCTTTACCAATAAGGTCACAACACTAGCGCATTCCTAAGCTCAGCACTCAACTTGTGTGCCTACAGCACTTACTAGTATAAATAAAATTCCTTCGAAGATTGAGAGGAGTTAAAACTGTAGAAATTATGAAGGTATAATATTAGAATAAAAAGTTAGAAGAAAATTGTAACAGTCCCATTGTATGCTCTCATTGGAAACATGTTATGTTATGTAATGTAATTTCAAAGACATAAAAATAAATTTTATTTTACACTTGCAAGTCCTTTGTTTACAACAATATAATAATTTTTAATTAAATAATTTGTAGATAATATAATCCATCAGTACTTTGATTAAAATCCTACTGGTGCTTTTATTACTCAAGCTAGAATATTTACCAATAGTGTTAATGATGTTAAATATTACGAGAAATATACAGACCTGGCCACATTAATGGATAATAAACAATAAGAATTCATGCAATATGGATAATAAATTATCGACGCAAGTCAAACGGCGCAGCTTGGTTTGATCAATAAATCCTACCCTGGCAAATACAAACGCGTCGTTGTTGCGCGCAATATGTACTTCTACAATATCGATTTTAGACAAAGCAAAAACCTATACAGACCTTCATAAACCTATACATTTAGGATAATAATAATAATAATGAAATAAATAATAATTATTAAATAGTACATGAATATACTTACAATTACCACCACAATTTTCGACAACTGCGTGTACCACATCTTCGCTTACCACTTCTCCAAAGGTTTCATTCAATAAGAGTCTCAATTACCTGACTGTAATCACTTTCTTGTCGACCCGCGGCCTCCATTTTTATTATTTACACTCTTACCAAGCCATACAAAAGCATGGATACGTTTTATTTCACTGATACCTCTACTTTATTTTTCTTATAAAATTAGTGGAGAAAGAAAATTTTCATTACATGTTACATATTCACGAATCACAAATTATCATAGATAAACAGTAAACTGATAAATAAATTAGTCTTGGGTAGTTTGCACAGAGTACATTATATATAGGGAAGTAGTTTGCGAACGACCTAGGTGGGAAGAGCGCTCTTTTATAGTAGGGATATTCGATATACATCGATGCATCGAATTCACTCGATGTTTACAATACGATGCATTGAATCGATCCGATGTTTTGGAAAGTTATTGATATACTCGATGTATCGATGTATTTTCATAAAACATCGAATCAACGATAACCATCCAATGGTTAAAAGGGTATACTTATCTATCACTATTAATATTATAACTTCTAAATCAGAAAAACAGCGCTCTTATTTAGAAGTTATAATATTAAAACTGTTGGTGGCGCTACTTGGCAGCTGTCAGTCCTTAGCGGAATCAAGAAATTGGCTGGTTGCCAACACTGTGCTAAATAGAATAAAAAAAAATCGTCTGGTCTGTCTCGGTTTTAAGGCGGCTACTCACTTGCATGCCGCAGGGCAATCTAGGATGAACGGCGATCGGGACAATATCAGAATTGTCTCTCTACAAACATGCCTGCCGTTCAGTATGAAAGTGTACATCTCGGTGGACACATGAGTTGAGAACGGCGCCAGTTTTATCGAAATATCAATGAATCGGTAAATATAGCCTTGGTTCTTTTTTTATAAAGAATAAGGGTGACAAATGAGCACAGTCCACCTGATGTTAAGGAGATACTGTGGCCCATAGACACCCATATTTATGATAAAACAACTAATTAATTAATAATTACAACCATAACACAGTCCTTAAAAACTGCAGCATGACTCTACCACTTTTAAAAACGTTACAACGTTTAAATAACGTTCCTTCTGCGGTGCTGCTGTAAAAAAAAAACAAAAAGGAGATAATGGGTGAAGAAGCCGCTGTTTATACACTTCTATCACCAGTGTCCAAATTTCACATTTTTTATTGATATCTATTGTGAAGTGTGCTGCACGCGAAAGTCATTAACGAACTGATTTAAATTGTTCCAATGGCGCTACACACGTGGCAGCGGTAGCTATGATCTAGAGAGCAAGGAAGTTCTTGCGCCCCTGCCGCCCAGCCACAGGGCCGACTTAGGAAATTACCCCTGCTTACATACACAAATCACAATTAAGGAGGAAATTAAGGGTAATCCCCACTTCTACACCCTAGAATGCCCCTGCGGCAGGCAAGTGAGTTAACGCCTTTAGACCATTTAACACAGTGGACTCGCCTCGCAAGATTATTGCCCTCTGCCAAGGTATTGGATTTAAAAATCTTATGCGTTGATTAAACCTGCTTACGGAATCGTTTTTATAAACGCACTCGATTTTTATCCTTATGAGAATCATTTCCGCCGAAGTAGGTGTTTTTTGAAAAATTCCAATCGGTGCGGTTAACGTGTTTATAAAGCAGTCAAATACTTAAAGTTTACGAAAAGATGGAGTTGTATTCCATATGTAAGTATTTTTATTGTGAATGTATCAATTTTTATCATTTAAAATAATATCATAAACATCGACCTACTACTAAATGGACCTCGGTTATGCGCTTAAAAGTGTCCGAGCCAAAAGAGTTCCAAAATGCAAAAAGAGCTCGAATTGAACGCCAGTCTTCGTTTTGTCGCCCGATAATACACTCCAAATTACCGTACAGTATCACAAAACGAGCAAAACTATTTATATATTTTTTTGATACTATTTATATTAGACTATTAATATTTAATAATTTAAAAATAATATTTTGTTTAGATACAAGATACGTAGTATTTAATTTAAATTCACATTAATTGTAAAAACAAAAAACCATACCGATAATTTTCGCTAGAAGCTTCATAAGGCGAAAAGAATGCAGCCTCTGGTTGAAGTTAAAAGGCTGATAAATTGTCCCAAGTAAAATCATATATATAATACGTTTGTATAGGTTGACTCGGGACACATTTTTCGTGAATTTTGTTCTAGATCCGCCGTCTATTTAGTAGTAGGTGAATGATCACAAATAATAATTTATTTATTCTTTATTGCATTCCTTAATATAAAATAATACAAAGGGAATAATACAAAAAAAAATCTACCAGTCAACCCACGAGAATTTGGCGTAGGTGTAGCAGTATAAAATAATAACAAAATAAAAAAGATAATTAACTAAGTTATATATTAATTTTACAAATATATAAAACAAATATACTATAGAAATATCTCCTATTTCTGGATATATACAAATATATGCATACAGACGTATACATACATATATACACATCAACATACAAATATAAATAATACAAATAAATAAGGATGAATATTTAGGTCTGTTAACAATATATTAGTTCTTACGAATAAGACACTTTGTGTGTCATGCAATTAAGAATATCTAACTAACATCCTAGAACACACATACACACTCACAAAAGGCGTGCGGGCAGACAGTACTGATGTAAGAGTAGTAGATCTTTCAAAATTGTCGGTTGTTTGAAGTCAGAAAAAGTACTCGATGTTGAAAAAACATCGATGTTTTTAACCGATGCATCGGAATATATCGATGCACAGTTTCGATGCATCACATCGAAAAAAAACATCGATGTATTTTCAAAGTGGACACCCCTATTTTACGCACGCACACATTCTCACAATATTGTGGCGAAACGACACCAGACAGCGTTAGTACTCCTCGGTTGACAGATTTCGCGCGAGTGGGCTCTCTTTTCCTGTATAGGACAGTTACTATACTCTTTGGACTAAATGTATGTACCAGAGACGTCCGTCCACAGAGTACTTTTTATAGGGGTGTCCACTATGAAAATACATCGATGTATTTTTTCGATGTGATGCACCGAAACTGTGCATCGATATATTCCGATGCATCGGTTAAAAACATCGATGTTTTTTCAACATCGAGTACTTTTTCTGACTTCAAACAACCGACAATTTTGAATGATCTACTACTCTTACATCAGTACTGTCTGCCCGCACGCCTTTTGTGAGTGTGTATGTGTGTTCAAGGATGTTAGTTCGATAGATAGATATTCTTAATTGCATGACACACAAAGTGTCTTATTCGTAAGAACTAATATATTGTTAACAGACGTAAATATTCATAGTTATTTATTTGTATTATTTATATTTGTATGTTGATGTGTATATATGTATGTATACGTCTGTATGCATATATTTGTATATATGCATAAATAGGAGATATTTCTATAGTATATTTGTTTTATATATTTGTAAAATTAATATATAACTTAGTTAATTATCATTTTTACTTTGTTATTATTTTATACTGCTACACCTACGTCAAATTCTCGTGGGTTGACTGGTAGAATTTTTTTTTGTATTATTCCCTTTGTATTCTTTTATATCAAGGAATGCAATAAAGAATAAATAAATTATTATTTATGATCATTCACCTACTACTAAATGGACGGCGGATCTAGAACAAAATTCACGAAAAATGTGTCCCGAGTCAACCTATACAAACGTATTATATATATAATTTTACTTGCGACAATTTATCAGCCTTTTAACTTCAACAAGAGGCTGCATTCTTTTCGCCTTATGAAGCTTCTAGCGAAAAAAATCGGTATGGTTTTTTGTTTTTACAATTAATGTGAATTTTAATTAAATACTACGTATATTGTATCTAAACAAAATATTATTTTTAAATTATTAAATATTAATAGTTTAATATAAATAGTATCGAAAAAATATATAAATAGTTTTGCTCGTTTTGTGATACTGTACGGCAATTTGGAGTGTATTATCGGGCGACAAAACGAAGACTGGCGTTCAATTCGAGCTCTTTTTGCATTTTGGAACTCTTTTCGCTCGGACACTTTTGAGCGCATAGCCGAGGTCCATTTAGTAGTAGGTGAATGTTTATGATATTATTTTAAATGATAAAAAATGATACATTCACAATAAAAATACTTACATATGGAATACAACTCCATCTTTTTGTACAACTTTAAGTATTTGACTGCTTTATGCACACGTTAACCGCACCGATTGGCATTTTTCAAAAAACACCTACTTCGGCGGAAATGATTCTTATAGGGATAAAAATCTAGTGCGTTTATAAAAACGATTCTGTAAGCAGGTTTAATCAACGCACAAGATTTTTAAATCCAATACTTTGGCAGAGGGCAATAATCATGCGAGGCGAGTCCACTGTGTTAATTTTTTTTATAGGATAAGTGTGACAAACGAGCACACAGTCCACTTGATGGTAAGTGGTTGCTGCGGCCCATAGACATCTACATCTATCCTCTGTTACAAATCAAAATATAGATGCGTTGTCACTCGTTAGGACTAAGATGGAATGCCTCATTTCCAGTAAAAAGGGCCTCCGGCCACCTGCACTCACCAAGCAAAACGCAGAGGTAAACCTCTACTTCACGCTGGTTTTCTGTGAGGTCGTGGTACCACCCCGGTTCGAGCCGGCCCATCCGTACGACAGCAAAAGCTGCCGTGTGGCTCTACCACTGTTTAAAAATATAAATATATATAAATGGTCTAAAGGCGTCAACTCACTTGCCTGCCGCAGGGGCAATCTAGGGTGTAGAAGTGGGGATCACCCTTAATTTCCTCCTTAATTGTGATGTGTGTATGAAAGCAGGGTTAATTTGCTAAGTCGGCCCTGTGGCTGGGCGGCAGGGGCGCAAGAACTTCTTTGCTCCTTAGATCATAGCTACCGCTGCCACGTGTGTAGCACCATTGGAACAATTTCAATCAGTTCGTTAGTGACTTTCGCGCGCAGCACACTTCACAATAGATATCAATAAAACATGTGAAATTTGGATACTGGTGATAGAAGTGTATAAACAGCGGCTTCTTCATCCATTATCTCCTTTTTGTTTTTTTTTTTTACGGCAGCACCGCAAAAGCAACGTTATTTGAACGTTGTAACGTTTTTAAACGTGGTAGAGTAATGCTGCAGCTTTTAAGGACTGTGTTATGGTTGTAATTATTAATTAATTAGTTGTTTTATCAGAAATATGGGTGTCTATGGGCCACAGTATCTCCTTAACATCAGGTGGACTGTGCTCATTTGTCACCCTTATTCTTTATAAAAAAAGAACCAAGGCTATATTTACAGATTCATTGATATTTCGATAAAACTAGCGCCATTCTCAACGCATGTGTCAACCGAGATGTACACTTTCATACTGAACGGCAGGCATGTGTATAGAGAGACAATTCTGATACTGTCCCGATCGCTGTTCATCCTAGATTGCCCAGCGGCATGCAAGTGAGTAGCCGCCTTAAAACCGAGACAGACCAGACGATTTTTTTTCGATTCTATTTAGCACAGTGTTTCCAACCAGCCAATTTCTTGATTTCGCTAAGGACTGACAGCTGCCAAGTAGCACCACCAACAGGTTTAATATTATACCTTCTAAATCAGAGCGCTGTTTTTCTGAGTTAGAAGTTATAATATTAATAGTGATATAAGTATACCCATTTTACCATTGGATGGTTATCATTGATTCGATGTTTTATGAAAATACATCGATACATCGAGTGTATCAATAACTTTCCAAAACATCGGATCGGTTCGATGCATCGTATTGTAAACATCGAGTGAATTCGATGCATCGATGTATATCGAATATCCCTAACTTTTTATATACGTCCGCTACGTAGGAGTAATAGTGTTCTGTGTACGTCCGTCTGAACGGTTTGTGGGGTAACCGAATAAAAAAAAATCCAAGAATCCCCGTACCAGATGAAAAGTACGTGTGCTAATAGGCGTAAATGTAAACTAGAAAGTGTGTGAACGAAGTCGCGAGTTGTCTCGTCCGTCCGGTTTGATCTGGATTTTAGCAGCATTAGCAGTTTGAACCGCGAGTTGGGACTCCCTTTCCCTCTTAATTAATTTATTAATACAGTTTAGTGGTGTGTTTTACAAACTTTAACGTTTATTTATTAGTATTTTTTAGTGTGCATTAGTTAATTTAAGCCGTTTCAAAATGTCTGAAGAGTCATCAGCGGATCGCAATGTCGAAATTTGGAAGATCAAGAAGCTGATCAAGAGCTTGGAGATGGCGAGAGGGTGAGTTTTTGAATTAAATATTTAATTTCGATAGGAGTCGTGGTGTTTTGTAACATGTTCTTTGTATGATATGTTTGTGATTATTTCGTTGGCGAAAATGCCAACACGGCCAACACATGCGCGTGCTGCATGCGCGGATATAACCTTGTAGGCACCAAAGGATGCTCGACAAAGTTTTTATTGCATAGGTATAGCATTATTTTAATTACATGTAGCCTTTATCGTGTTTCAAACATATTTTACGCAAACATAAATCGTTACCATGACAATTATTTTATAAATGATTAAACAAACTTACCTGTAAGTGAAGTTCTATCATAATTATGTGAGGTGTTTCGTTCGAAGAGATTAGATAACACAGGTAGTCCCACATACAATGTCGCCATCTATGCACTTAGTTTAAAGTAAAAATAAAACAAGACGGTAGATTAATATTACTTCATGGTTGCACTGCGCTCGATTTATCATTTAGTTCAGAGTAGAGAAACGATATGATATTTCACAATATGAGGGTTAAGAATAAACAGGGTGGGAGGGATGCTAATCTCTTCGAACGAAACACCTCACATAATTATGATAGAACTTCACTTACAGGTAAGTTCGTTTAATCATTAATTATGCTTCAGTGTTTCGTTCTCGAGATTAGATAACACAGGTAGATGTTGAGAGTTAATTGTGAAATATCCCAACAGAAATTATTTACAATGGGAAAAAAATTCAATGAATTAAATAATTTTAATTATAATCACTATAAAGTGTACACAAAAATACACTGCTATGACATACGATTATCGTGATTAATGATACATATTTAATTAACATTAATTAGTAAACTCTTAGCGAAACTATGTCTCAGTGTTCAGTAGGTATCAGTTGATATTATCCATTATAGAACTATTAAAGAACTTCGCAAGAGTTGTGGAGGCACCCGTCCAGCCGGCAGTATTCCTTATTATATTGAAGTTGACAGCTAGTCTATGGGCTCCAGCCGTCCTGGTGTGCCTAGTGCTATGCGCACAGAGAGTAGTAACGTCAACCCCGCTAACTTCCAACTCTTTATCCATCTACTTAGCGTTTAAACAGAAACCGTATTATGGGTCTCCTTTGTACTAGTGTAGTGTGTCTAAAGTACGGATGAACAAGGGTTGGCTGATGAAAATTAACACGAGATGTTTTTGTCAAATCGGGAACATTAGTAGAAATTTCATCAAGTGAAATGCTTATATTTTGAATATTTATTTTTAATAGGGTTTGGGTCCTGTGCGCCGTTATTAGTGCAAGAAGGCAACTAGGTTTTTTTTTTTAATATAGATATTTTCTCAAAAGATAGATTCTAATTCGGCACCCAGCTAGCGAGACTTTCTATTAATAATGAGGTGTCCCAAAGTTGAATCATATTTGGGTAAAACCTACATAAATAAACCTTTAAAAAAATTTTTTTGTTTATATGGTCATCCTCGCTAGTTTGGGCTCTAGATTGGTAGACTCATAAAGAAATAACCAATAATTGGTATTGATGCCTGATACATGTTATTATTGCAAAAATTATACCATTTTTTCAGACATGTATCATAATATTTCATAGAGATGGCCGAAAGAGAAACCAAAATGATCGGAATAGATGTGCAGAGAATGTTTCTTTTCAATAAAAAAGCCCGCATTAAATTCCGGCACCCAGGGTAATACGCCCATTATGTGGTAGTTGCTGGAATAAGAAACAATTAGTTCCTTAACAGAATTAAAAATCAATGACCAAAATAGTCTCCAGGAGCCGATTAAACAGGGGATACCTAGGCTGTGATAGCCATGTCGGTACTATCAATATACCTCTAGCTTTAACGCTAATAGTAATTTTTCTTAATGTTTTAAGAACAATTGAGAAAAAAAGGAAAGAAAGCATCGTTAGTATAGCCATCAGGGTCTTTATGCAATGATACATAATATTTTGTATATTTTTTTTGCTACTAGCAAATATGTAAATATCTGGTACACAAAGCAAAATATGAAAATCCTATTAATGTCAGGGTGATTAGATTTGGGGTCAGTAATAGTGTTCTCGACAGATGGGATATATAAAGTAGAAACAAAAAAGATTATATGCTTGCTTTGTATCATTGCCATAGTTTTTAGCAACCTTAGGTAAATGAGAGTCCTGTATTCCTCACATGCGATTTATGTACTAAATTGCAGTTGTATTATCTATACGTAAGATTATTTGACTATTGGATAATGTGAAGGCATATAATTTAAGTCCAATGAAAGCAGCTATTAACTCTAAATCTAATCTAGATAATTAATATGATGTTTTCGTTCAGCGTTACTTGAAATATCGCTTGCAGTCTTTCCCATACAGGTCACGCCCCATCCCGTTGTTGAGGCATCAGAATTAATTTCCAGACTGAATTCATAAAAATTTTATTTATTTACAGCTTGATCGATGGATTTTATCGACCAATTAAAATCTAGATCTAATGTAGGTTTTAACAAAAAATTATGACAATTTTATGACTATACCAGTCTAATTTTCGTTTCCTATAAGGTTAAGGAATTTGCACCTTTCGAACTCCCATAGTGTGAAGTCAGGCATATATAATAGCTGAACAAGCTGAACGTTAACAGGCTTACTGAGCGTACAAAGTTCCTGATTCTAAATCCTTTACGATTTTTTTTTTATAAGTATTTTAATAATTTGGCTTTAATTTTTACACATTCTGTAAAAGGTAAACTGATTGGCATTATATTGGAATTTATCATAAATCTGGGATTGATCATAAATTCCAATACAAAATTATATTACTAGGAATCATACAGCTTTTAATTTTATGAATAATGAAACCTAAGCCACAAAAAAGTTTCTTCATAACGTCAATATTTTTTACACATTTGTTATAGATGCGTGATATAAGACATAAGTCATAGATTGTTATATATAATATACAATAAGTAGTCTGGGTAGCTTACAGACAGGTTACCAATGCCACCAATATGTCTTAAGAGTTTAACAAACAGTTACATTATTTTTGTAAATACGTAGGGTACAGTATTTATGCCGAACTGGAGAACATTAAATTCATATAAAATATTCCTCAATATAAACCTTCAATACTTTCATGAATTGTCATGAATTTTATTATTTAAATTAATACAATTTGATAAGAAAAAATGCGTATTTGTGGTTAATTGTTGACATAAAACAACTTTTTGAAACAAGTTTTACCATTGTTCTTCCAATTTAAAATACTTTGTGTTTACAAAAATTTGTTCATATTTTTAAATTAAGAATAAAACGAGTCCTACCTTTCAGTTTCGGTACTAAGAATATTTTAGTTATGAACTGATCATCACAGGGTTCAACATTTAGAAACAGCGCCTATAGACAGTGAACTATCTATTGCCCAATCGAAATCCTTTGTTTCTGATGGAGAACAGTTAAGTTTTGGAATATCATACTGATAAGGTGTTTGTGAGAAGGGTATTTTATTCACGATATAGTTTGATCTGATGTTATTTATAACCAATGATCATAGAAAGGAGATCCTGCTGGCAAAATTTACCTCATCATCTAGCGGCGGCCGCGACTGTTGCCCGGACGTGACGCTCACGATGATTGTAATTGCTGTTGGCTTGTCAAAGGTGTAGGCTCCTGTCGGCCTGCAGATCGGGGCTGGAGCTTTCTAGCTTTAATTCTTGTTGGAATGGAAGGCAAAGTTTTTGGTTTGTTTGCATGGACTTTTTGCGTGGTGACAGCTTCAGCTACTCATTAATTTATTGTTTTAGCAGTTCTTATATGTCTGAAAGCACTTGTCCAAAGAGCAAGTTATCTTTGTATGCTGCATCAGTCTCTCTTCAGTGTAGTCAGAATAAGACTACGTCTAGTGACCGAGTCCTTATGTTGAGCACACAAGATGCGTGCTGTATAATATATTAGCAATTTTAATATTGTTGGATCTTTTGTATCTTTAGACAATAGAACTGTAAATGTTTCACTAAGACATGCTATAGTGCTGCATATTTGTTTTTGTTTAGCTTGTATAGCTTTCTGGCTTCACTATATCTTCTTAAACAGCACAACCTTTATTTCTGGATACGAGGAGGGAACGTCTATCATTTTACAGTTAGCTGGAGGTAGATGCGATTCTAAGAGCTCTTTATAGAGTTACCTGGTCGATTTCGATGCAGAAGTTGCTATAAATTCGAGGCAAATGGCCAAGTCCTTCCGCATGTTCTTTCCAAAAATAGCGGTTGTTGAAGGTCCTGTTTTTAAAATTTCTAGCACCATCATTAGACTGCTGACTCCTTCTCGGTAGGAGGTGGTTGTTCGGTCGCTGATTGTCGAGGTTCGAATATATCACTTCAGGTGCATTGAACGCCAATAGCGAATTCCGTTGTGATGTGCTAGTTGTCGGTCCTAGCTCGCGCAGGTCTAGTTAGCATTTCAACATTTTCCGATTCGTTGATTACGTCATTATTTCCCGAACTAATGTAATATGTATATTTTTCACATAGAAAATTTATATACAGATACTTCTTTTTTTTTGGATTTGTAAGGACAAAAATAATATCTCGAGAGCTTAATTACCTTAAATAAACACATATCGGTAATTATATGTAATGTACCTAAACAGGTAATATAAAAAAATATTTATGCATTTGTATGTAAACGCACAAAAACAGCGGGTAAGATGAACTCATGGGCGTTGCATCGTGAACCAGAGTTTTATAGGGATAAGTTACAATTCGAGCATTGTAACGTTAATCCTTGTTAAAGTCGGATGGTAATAACTCAAACCGTTAAAAAGTACATCCGTTATTGTAATTACCTTGACTTATGTACTGAATCCGGGGGCGATGACGATCGGCAGCGTTGGCTTTTTAACAGTTGTCTTCAAGTATTTATTCGTAATATGATTTAAAGAATCCAAGTCGTCGTGTTTCCTTTTCGGTATTTTATTAACTTTAAAGTAATTTAAAGGCTATAATTTAAAATAAAAAACTTAAGC